GAAATCTGTTGACTCTATTTTTTCTCAGTTCTGTTTTATTGTCCACTGATAGGTTGTTGTCTTATTATTAATATTCTTAATAAACTGTCTAATTGGATCATTTAGAGTCATTCCTTGGCACTTGATTTTAGTAATAATTTTGCATGAGGTGAGATCTTTCCATTCAATCAGTGGAAATTTTAGAGCTTCCTTAGCTAAGGTATCTGCTTCTTTATTATAAGGATTATTTGAATGTGCTTTGACTTTTGTGAGCTTTAAATCTATATTTTTCTTCTTTATTAATTCTACTATGTATGCCCAGAAGAATCAGTTTTTTTCTTTGAGCCATCTCTTGTGTGTTCTTCTTGAATCTTTCTTTTCTAAAGATTTTCACTTGTAAATACATGCATAACTGTCTGTAAAGATCTCTACCATGCTTTTGATCAATATCTTTATCTTTACTTTATTATACTCATAAAGATGAAATTTTACAAATACTCATAATGCATGATAAATGTAAAAGCAGATACAAATAATGTAACTATAAATATAAAACTACACTATAAGAAAGATATTCGATGTTCTCTTAATTTTTTCTAAAACAATTTTAAAGAGTAATCTAGTTATTAAACTATTATCATACTCTAATCTATATTATAGATTTTAAACACTTCAGTATGGTCCGTGAATTCCTTCTCCTATCAAGGTTTTCCAACAGAAGAGTTATCAAAATTCTCAATGTTACTTGACATCCTGCCGGTATAATATTTACTCTATTACCAACTTAAATGTAGAAATAATGGGGATGGAGTCTTACCTTCCAACCATCTCTAAAAGTTCCATTAATAAAGTTGACTTCTTCATATTGTATATCTATCAACAAGGATTTGTATTTGTAATAGAAATCAAGATCATTAATTGTTTCATCCAACCCATCTTTGAATAATCCTTTAAGCACAGAAGAGGTAGGCTTTAAATAAGTCTTGAAACCTCGAATGGTTAGTCCAAAACCATCGATAGTGGAAGTATAATTGTAAATACCAATCTTTCTTTTCTTAGATAGATGAATCTGATATTTATCGAGTTTATCCTCCACTTGCTTTACTAATTTAAGCACTGTCTATTCATCAAGTTTATTGCAATTGGTCTTGAAAATTTTTCTGGAAGGCTTCCAGGCCAGTGCTTCAGCAGTACTGGCCTTGGTTTCTTGATAGGCTGCCTTACATTTTTTTTTTTCGCTTGGCATGTTTATCAACTTCCATAGTATCCAGTTTGTGATATCTATTGAAATGTTTCTTTTATAAAGTGTAACTAGTAAAGTCTTCACTATACTCAGAACATTTATATGCCTTGAGAGATGGAGATTGTTTAGGCAAAGGTTGTTTATTTTTTGGTTTACCCTGTTTCTTGTCTCCTTGATATCTTCCTTTTTTTGGATGACGTTTTCTCTTTTTTTTAGAGGAGCCCGGATCAAGTAAAGAAGTGAAGACTTGTCATTTAGAGTTACTAAAGCAGACAGAAAAAGCCCTGCCTATCTATTTGGCAAAGAGCTCCTTTACTTGATCCAGTTGTTCTGCAGATCTAGAGTACTTGAACATAACATCGCAAAAAAAGCTTATCACTATAAAAAAGTTCACCATATTGTGTTTTGTCTTTAAAACTACTATCTCTTGTTGTTTACTTTTTTCCTTGGGAAAATTTCCTTATAAGGAAATTTTTAAGAAAAAATGAGGTTACAGGAAAGAGTTTTTTTAATAAATTAGTTATTAAATATATATATTATATATTTTTATTATAATAAAATATAGGTTTTTAATTTTTAAATAAAATAATTTATTTATTTTTTTTTTTTAACCCACAATCATGTTGAAACAGCTTGTCTTTATTAAGATACTTAAAAATATATCAAAATAATCTGCAGACCTTTTCACATAATAACTAACTCATCTTTATATATTATTAGTTAGAGAATTATACTACTTAAAAAATATAAGATATTCACTAAGCTAGTTTAGACTAAACAAAACTAAGTCACAACTAGGTACTTTAAGTTGGATTTAATGAATAATATTACACTCTTCTAGTAGCTTGGCATAGTGTTTCTAAGTCAATCAAGATTATTACCAATAGTTTGTTACTGTTTATTATTCTGAAAAACAATGAATTGCTAAAGTTGAACTGAAAAAGAAAAAAAATGAAAAACAATTCAAAACTTTTTAAAAAATTCTTGTTCCATTTTACAATCTCTTTTCAAAAGGGGTCTTGCCTAATTAAGATATTCTTTTTTGCTTTATTTAAATTTCAGAAGGAGTCTTCTTTGTCATCACCTGTAATATCAAATAAATTTTTATTTAAGTATATACCAGATTAGGATAGTTCAAGAGAAACTAAAAGATCTTAGCTTTTACCTTAGAGAGTCTTTTCATCACTTGAGGAACTTAGAGAAGGGATGAAATTTCTTTATGCAAATTCATCCTATCTTTTGGTATTATAACTGTTTCCTGAAATCAAATATATATAGTTGAAAGGGAACTTTTTCTAAAACTTTCTTTCCTATATCATTTATGATGTAATAGAAATATGTGAGTATAACCAATAGGAGCTTGTTTACTTTTTCTGAAACTAACATGTTTCGTGTCAGTCAATTATTTTTGGTGAGAATTTATGCTATCCAAAATTCAGGATCAAACTGAAATAGATAAAATTCTCTAGAAAACCATGAAAGTGATAGCTTTAAGAGATTCACAAGTGACCAGAAGGGGAAAAAATAAGTCCTTCTATTATCAAAAACCTCTATATATCTCTTGCTTCAAAGATAAAAAAGACTTTTATATATTTCACTATTAGTTCTTTTTTCTTTAAAAACTTTCTTATTATTGATATTAAAGATATTACTTGACTTGTTTTTGATCATCAAAAGTCAAGTTTTTGATCAAAAAGAATTGTAAACAAGTAAAGGAGGATAGAGATAATCTTTGAAGTCACTCTTCAAGGAGTTTTAAAGAAAGTGTTAAAGACTTTTTTAGCAAAAAAGCAAAAAACTTCTTGCAAACATTTTTTTGATATGTGGTTAAAGAATCAGTGGAAGAATTTTTAAATAAAATAATTTATTTTATATAATGAATATATATAAATATTAAAAAAAAATCAAATAAATAAAAAACTTTTTTACATATTCTCTATTTTATAAAATTTCTTTTATAACCTGTTTTTTTTTTCTTTTTCTATTTTTTTGTTATATAAAACTATTAACTATATAATAATTAAAATCTAAAAAATACTAATAAATACTAATATTATATAAGACTTTTTATATGATTAATTAATATGTAAAAAATATTATATTTAAGAAAATACAAATAGATTTGAACTTTATATATAACAAAAGTCTAAAATTAAAAAAAAATATTCTTTAAAAAAAAATATTTTTGAAATAAGATTTTGTATATATTAAAGTTATAATAGATAAATATATTTTCATTTTTTTTTTAATTTTTTAACTTTCCTTATTTTTTGTTTTTATTTTCTATTTATTTTTTACTTTTTTTTTATTTTACACTTTTTCTATCAATAAATAATTTTTTTTTTTTTTTTTTTTAATCTATTCTTCTTAAACCTTTTATTTTCTTTTTTATTGAATTAATTTATTAATTCTATGGTATGTTAAAACCTTTACTCTAATTAAAAAATAAACTTAACATAAAAAAAAAATTAAAATTAAAATAAGATCTATTTAATTAAAAAACAAACTTGTAATAAGAGAGATTATATTTTTGAATTTCTAGATATATTTTTAGATAATTATTAACTATTTATAAAATTGTTTGAATAAAAAAAAAATAGTAATAGTGAAGATTTCAATTTGTAGTACTAGAAATATAAGGTTTTGCTTGTTTTGAATTTAAACAATTATTGTATTGATCAAAAGTAAACAGTTAAACAAGAGTTTCAATTTTAAACATCCAATTATATTACTATTACTTGACTTAAAAAAAGTAATAATAGGATCTCTTTTTATTTCAATTAATTGTCAAAACTTTATTAAAAATTGAGATCAACCTATTCTATTCAAAGATTAGTATCGATTGATTATACCTTACTAGTCTTATGGTCCTTTATAAAAAAAATCTATGATTTAAATCTTGATTCAAATTAATTTTTTGATTAATATAATAAAACTTGATTTTTCTAATTATATCATTATATATTTGTAATGACTCATTAATCTGTATAGATATGATAATATATGACTTGTAAGAGATAATTGATGTAAGTAATTATGAACTTAATAAAATTTCGCATTTAGTACCAGTTGCGGTTTAAAAAAAAAAAAAAATTTAAAATGTAATAATTTAATTACAGTAATAAGCAAATTTTAATTTAATAACAATTAGATTATTGTAAATAGGTATTTTTGATATAATAAAGATGCAAATTTTTAAATATAATATAATTAGATTTTTGAAAAAATGAATACTGTAAATGTAGTATTCAATTTATTAACTATGTAATATTCAATTTATTAACTATACTGTATATATATATATATAAATTAATGATTAATATTTAAAAGAAAGCATTCGAAAATGCCAATATAAAAAGTAAACCACCAATAGCCGAATTACAATTTGTTTATATTTCCGTCAATTCAATTTGATGCAATCAAGAGTACGATATTTTTTTTTTTTTTTTTTTTTTTTTTTTTGTAGACGCTTCTTAAATGATATTTTTACCAATATTTAAAACAATATTACCCATTTCTCAAGATTCTGATATTTATATACAGTGTGACTGGAATTTGATAATGAGCTCGATTGACTCATAAGTGATAAAATTAAGTAAAAATGAAGAAATCATGATGATGCTACGACTATAAAATAGAAAATTTAAAAGAATGTATAATAAATCATATATATATTAGATGTGAATAAAAAAAGAAATCCTAGGGGAAGTTATCGATGAGTAATTCATAATCCCGCAAAATTTTAAAAACGTAAACGTAAAACTCGAAGAGAATTTTCTCAGGAACTGCTAGTTTCTTGTTTTATTTGGTGATTAGAGTGGTCATGACCATTCGTTACAGCCGACTTATCATCCTCCTCGTCATCCTCTTCCTCTATACGTTCGCTCTTGATGGAAGGAGGAATCGATGTTGGTTGATCATCATCGATCCAACGTTGCATCACATACTTTGTGCATTTTTCCGCGCCGGGTAGTTCCTATTTCCCGTGATCAAAATAAATTAGGGACGAACAAAGGATGAAAGATTATTGTTAAACAAAAAAAAAGGGTTGCAAATAATACCTGAATGTACTTTGTGATTCCCAGGTGACTCAATCCAAGCATTTCCGGTCCACTGGCGTGCGTCTTTGAAGGAACACCTTGAATATTAATCTCGTCAAGAATCTTTTTCCAGACACCGCTAGAGGAACTAGCGGAAAACTTGCGACCGGGCTGATCCTCGGCGGTCACTTGAAACTAAATTACGATAATGGTAATGTCAATTGCGCGAACCATAAATGTAAGGCGAACGAGCGTACAACATACAATCGGATTGTCTCCGCCGTCTAAAATCTCGCTGGTATACGTTGTCCTCCTTGTGACATCCACGGCACTCAGGTATTGCTTTTTACTCATAAACCCAACAGGAAATATGTATCGGTTCGTATGATATGCTTCCCTGTCCCAGACTATCTCACCTTTAATTTAATGTCGCAAGAATGAGATGATGGAAATCGCCATGTTAAGCGATGATATATAACTGATCGATCATTCATTAATCCGACAGGAAATCCTACATACCAATTCTAAATATTGTCACTTCGTTGGTACCCTTCCCAATGGTTACCGGCAATTTTAGCGTTTTGTCGGGGTTCATGGGCAAAGGCTAAAATGATAACAATAATAAATAAATAAAATAAAGAATGGATTATTGTCGGGTCAAGTTCAGCATCGGACGAATAGTTTCCGGAATTCATGTTTTTCCATATTAACCTCAATTCTCTTAGCATCCGTACGATCATCACGCTTCTTTTTCTAACGATTACAAAATAATCATAATAATAATAATTAAATTTAGACGAAATGGTTATTGATATTGGCATGACATATTTTCGAAGATGGAAATAATGACTTACAACGCCAGGGGCCTTTCTTCGACGTTTCGGTGTTGGTGATTCATCAACGCCGGCATTATCCTCCGGCTATAGGTCAATCATGGAAAAAAGATGAGCAGAGCATTCGCAAAGGGAAATCAGATGATTGGAGTACCTTGCGTTTTCCAGAAGTTCTAGCGACCGGCGTTTCCTGAGGAGAGGTTCGGGTTTTTCGTGATGTTGGTGGTGAAACTTTCCTTCTGTATTCCTTTGTCGGAGGTTTTGGTTGTTCTACAAAAAAATCATTAAGGGTTGAATATGAGAAGACAGAAAAAAGATGAAATTTTATTAAAGTATTTTAAAAGACATGTGATTTTACATATGGGTTAACCATTAGAATGACTGATAGATACCGTATCGGCTCGGTACAGTTATGCTGGCATCATCATCTGATGATGCATCTAATAATAAATCCATGTCTTCGGAAGAGGAACTCCTGCGATGTGAAAGGTGTGAAAGAAGATGATAAGAGGCATGGTATAAAATGGGATGAAAATTTCCCTGTAATTATGATGATGTAAATCAAAGACTTACCCAGATGCGTCATCGACAAGACTAGGGTTCATATCCATCATTAAGTCAAGTAAACGACTAGTAAGGAGTCGATAGAAAAGAATAATTTAATGATGCGAAAAAGATAACATTTATGGGCCACAAACGAAAATGAGGGAACAATTTTCTTTTTGAAATTTTGATTTCCGGAGTTGAATTCCAGATCTGAGTAAAATTAGGAAAGTGAAGAAAGGAAAACTCACTTGTTTTCCTCCTTTAGTTTGCGCGCCTTTTGCTTTGTCAACTCAAGGTTGTGTTTTAGTTCATCTCTTTGCTGGAAATTTGAAAGGGGAGTAAGTAGGTTGGGTGAGTTCACGGAGGAAAAAGGTGCAAGGCGCGTGCAGGTACGAAAAGACTGTTCCGAGAGAAAAGAAACAAGACCGACCTTATTGAGAGCATCGTACTTTTCTCGAAGCCGGTGATATTTGTCTTTGAATGATCGTGAATCGGCCATGGTCCAGCCTGGTAAACTCAAAAGCGAAGAAAAGCGAGCTTTCCAAACTCAAACCGTCAACAGTTTATATTTAGTATCTGGGCACGGAATGAATCATATAAGAATTACGTACTAAATTTTCCTATGTTTATAGTAAGATCACGTTGACAACACAACTATTAGTAATGGTGGTGTTGTGTAGTCAACTATATAAAGTGAGATGTACGTATGTGGAAATTTTTTTTTTTTTTTTTTTCGGAGTTTCTAGTTGATGGTGGATGGGGAGGAGGGAGGGAAGAGGGAAATAAATAAATACATATATCGACGAAGGTTATTTCCAATAAAGGAGTCCTCTAATTTTCGCTTTTTACATTGGGAACCAAATAAGCCATCTACCCTAAACTTGTTGTGCACCGTGGAGGTTTTTGTTCGTGGACGGAAACTTTTTTACAATATACACATTAAAATAAATTACAGAATAACAACAACGGTAGAATGAATGAAAAAGAATGAATGATGATGATAATTTATGTGATAGTAAAAAAAAAAAAAAAAATAAGACTACGGCAGTAATATAAAGGATGCGAGAAAAAAAAAATTATATATATATATATTTATTTATTTATTCATTTATTTACAATTATACACACATAAAAAAAAAAAATAAATATAAAGAAAGATGAGTTTAGAATAGACAACATATATTATTAGAATAGATAGAAGGAACTAAAGAGTTTCGCTGTTGATCGTTGAGTCGAGTGTAATGTAATCGCTCTTATCAGTGCGACTATAAACATGTGAAACAGAAAAAAACCAGTCTCAAAGGAAGAAACCACGTTGACACCGGCTTCCCCCCAAATACGTTCTATACATCACAAAGTTAATCTGCTTCTTGATTGAGTACTTGATTTATGTGTTGGGTCTCTTTCGCATAGTCGCAAATGGTCACTTGGTCACAGTTCTTTTTTTTTTTGCCACATGTTCTATTTTAGTATTCATACTACATAAAGCGTAGCTTAAAATTAATACGCATTTATTTTAGTAATAATTTGGTAGATTTCATAATATTTATGTAAATAAGAAATTTTCTCGCTATTTGGGTAACCCGCATGATAACTTGTCTCTTTTAGAGGTTTATTGCAACTTAGCGCATAAGCTTCTCTCCGTTCGCACCTTTGAAACAAAGAGGACTACTAACAGAATTTTTTAATATATTTCGGATGCAAGTACACACTAATACGAGAATATCACCCCACCTCTCCACCTTATCATGGTGTCATGCGTGATGACATCTTTCGAATCGAGCGCATGAAAAAGAAGGCATAAAACGAAAGTTACAAGTTGATTAGAACGAGAGCCGAGAGAGTCTATCAAATGGAATAGACTAAATTGATAGGTGGAAAAGGTAATGATGAATATTATCAATGGAATAAGGAGCTAGAATAACGAGATAACAAGAATGTCCAATTACTCCAATTACTGTAAATATCTAAATGTCGCACATTGGCGATAAGACTAACGAAAATTTAAGATTATATAAATGCTGTGTTATATTTGATTTGATTTAGATTTACCGATTACCAATAAATTTTTCGGGTGAATAAGAGAGAAACACGCGAAGCCTATGGGCTACCTCCATTATGTATTCCACTGTTAGGACAGGAATATTCCTCGCAGGAAAAGATTTCCTCCCTTAATGGTAAGATTAACGCTCATTTCCCACGTGGGAATAAAAGAGAGAGCATGAAAATCTCCCATTTACTGCGCCATTATGGATTGAATTCGCGCAATCTCAACAAAGTGAAACACTTTCACAACACTCTCTGATGTACGATGTTTTATCGCATTGATCACGAACGAAAGATTCCCAACTTTTTAACGTGCATTCAGTCCTTCTTCACACGAGAACACCCGTAAAAGGCGCTCAACTTGTATATCCCAAACGAAAAGAATATTTAAAGAAATTCGCATATGCGCTGAAAGAGATGTGCCACGATGCTCCTACCAAAAGATTGATTGCGTCATTTGAAAAGTTGAAAAAGGTGATTGTTAAATTTTAATAAAGGAAGTTGCTGCTGCCGAGTCTTTCAGAAAAACAACGTGCGATCTTTGCAAAAAAGGTAACTCGTCTGGACACACGTGAAGTTCTAACTCGGCATAACGGGCAGGTTCCTGAAATCTATCCATTCACGTGATCGATGAGGCAAGTTTCTGTAATGCGTTCGTTCAAATGTTTCGTCGTCTCACAATTCCTTCGTTGAACATTACCGAAATGTTCTCATTGACATCAAATTTGGTGAAACATAAACTTAACAAAGAGGCAAAAGAAGCTTCTTAAATGGTTCGATTTTAAGTCGCTCTAACGTTTGTCTTACTATCATAATAAATAAAAATGGAATTGAACTTACTTAATAATTCCTTTTGAAAACTATCAGACAACTTTTTTGGTTGAAATGACGAATGGTGTGGACATAAATATCAATTGTTATACATATCAGCTACAAACAAGAATTATTAAAGAAAAAATGAAACCAAAACAAACATTTTAATTATTACACAAAGAAGATTACTCGGATTATAACAGTGAAGCATATTTTTTTCCCGTGACCAGGCCGATGGAGGTAGCGCCTTATTATTATTTAATGCATCATGCAAACATTGCTCCATTGCTAAAGTAATATACACACCCGTCGCAATCGAACTTCAATAAAAATCTTGCAACCTTAAGATATACATACATACATGATTCAAATATTTGTTTGTTTTTGAATTCATACATAGCATGCAGTATATGAAACCATAATATAAATCATAATATTGATACAATGTTTAATAAATATTAAAATTTTAATGCAACTTAAAATAAAACTTATTTTAATAATGTATTTTATATTAATTAATTTATTTATTGAAAAGAATTTTTTATCAACTCGAATTATTTTTTATTTTTTTATAATCCTTTATAAGGTTAGTTATATATGCTTATTAAACAAAAGTACACTATACATACACATTGAGAATATGTAATACTAAAGTTAAATCCATATTTTTATTAATTAAGGACTTTAAGTATCACTTTGAAAATAATTTGTCACTTCAATTATAGTTCAAGTGAATATCCTTTCAACTATAAATATTATCACCTACAGATTACCACTATAATTTATCAACTTGAATTATTTCTTATTAATAAATGCATTAATAAATTATGTTGATTTTTTTTTTTTTTAAATTTTTTAAAAAATAATAATAATTCATTTTTAATTTTATTATTTAAAATTTAATTAAAAAAATAATAAAATTGTTTTAATAAATTATAATTAAAATTGTTTAATAACCAATTTTTTAAAAATTATAATTAATATTAGATATAAACTCTTTATTAAATAATTAAAATTTTAATATAATATTAATTATTATTATTATTATTATTTTTTTTTTAAACCACAACTGATATTAGATATAAGCGCTTTTATTAAGAATTAACTTAACATTTTAGATAATAAAATCTTGGGCATCACATCAATTATCTCATACAAACTATATATTTCTATATATATACAAATTAATGATAACCTATCACAGTTTTCTCTAGGTGGATCTACTACTACTCTGTGAATAAGGCAGACTCAGCTAGAAGTCAGATGGTCAAATACACAGTCATAGATAGTGAAACAGGCTAATCTAGCAATGAGTTTTATAAATTTTTTGTATTATATTCGTTAAACTAGGTTGTATAGTATGTACCCAATGGGATTTTAATTTTACCTTTCAATACTCCTAGAGATATTATTCGCTTAGACCTCAGAAGGAGGCACTTTACCTTCTTTGTCATCATCTATAACATCGAATCAGTTCTGCTTAACTGATTTTCATTTAAATGGAACATCATATTGGAATATCCTAAACTAGAAGGGTGAGGGTCTTGGAGACTGCCAGAGTAGGGGTCTGTAGAATGTTTATAGTAGGTTAGACCAGAAACCTTTCTTCATGCAATTCTTTCAGTAGTACGACTGTAGATCTCAGCCTCTGATCGATAGAAGGCCAAAAGTCTCATCTTTATACAACCTGACCTAATTGAAGTTTGTTTCAGATGATTTGGTATGACTTTTACGAGATAACCGGTAAACCTGATTAGAAAAGTAATTTTGATTTTTGGTTCTTAAGTAGTATAGAACTACAGATCTTGTGATTGCGATCTGGGAGCATAATCACCATACTATTGACCTACAGATCTAAATATAATATTAATTATTTTATATATAATATATAGTATACTTATATACTGTATATACTGTATACTATATATATAGATTAATAATAATCTATTGTAATAAAATTTATATTTTATCAATATGTTCAAATAAAATATTAATAAAAAAATAATCAAAAATAAATTTATCAAGAATTCCTTTTTTTTTTTTTTTTTTTTTTTTTTTTTTTTTAATCTGCAGTCAGGTCAGCATGACTTGTCTTTATTGTATATATATCAGATATTTACAAATTATTTTGACTTTCACATACTAACTCACCTGTCGTTGAAAAACTATTTCTCTATATGCAACTTAGAAAATGATATTTCGCTCCTTTACTGACTTGGATAAATCCTCTAATCAATAAAATCATTGCCTATAGATCATTACTGTAGATCATTCTAAATTCTGACTACAGTTAAAAATCAAACCATTTTCTTCCATAATAAATCCAATTCTTGATGATTTCTATGTACTTCGTTTCCTCCTTTCTTTCAGAGACTTCTTGTTTTAGATCTTCTGCAAGTGTGAGTTCTTCTTTTTGTTCTTATATGACCTGTATGATGGATTGATGCCCATGTCTTTTAATTGGTTTGTTCTTTTCAGTAATATTCTGCTTTTTTTCCCACTCTATAACTTTTTTGTAGTGGTTATTTCATATATTCTTTTTGAAATTTTTTCTCATTTTATAACAAAGCTTACTGATTATGCTTTGTATGACTGTCATAGGAATCTTGAATTGAACTTTGAGATAATTCTTCAAGAAAA